AGGCTGCAACGGCCAGAACTGGGAGCCAAAGCAGAAAGCAGGAGCCCGGAACTGGATGGTAGGGACCCAAGTACTTGAGTAACCATCAGCTGTTTCCAACATAAATTAACAGGAAGCTGGACGGGAAGCAGACCAGCTGAGTGGCAGCTTAACCTGCTGTGCCATGAGGCAGGCCCGACTGATTAACTTCTGACACCATCTTTTATTAGATTGTTAAGTTTCTTTGAAGGCAGAATCCACTCCTTCTTGACTTCTATGTTTGTATTCCCAATTGTCTCTGACACAACAGCCACTTCAATGCAGCTTAAATCCCTTGATCTTCGTAGACAATACCAAACACACCACTGTATGCTCCACTGATGCTCCACTGACCAAGCTTATCTGGTTTTAGTGTAGTGCAAAGGAGTATAAGCTTTATGTTTCCAATACAAGATAATTCTGTTCAGAAATGTGTGCAAGGGACAGTGCTGTGGCATAGTGCAATAAACTGCTGCCTGCAATGCCAATATCCCGTATGGCATTGGTTGTCCCACTTGCTCCACTTCCAATCCAATTCCCCATTAATGTACCTGGGAAAACAGCAAAAAACAGCCCAAATCCATGTGCCCTGCCACCCACCTAGATGCAAGTCCAGCCCCAGGCGCTGTGGCCATTTGAGAAGTGACTTATCAAATGAAGGATTCTCTCTCTCTCTGAAGTTTTGCCTTTCGAATACATAATATTAAAATAATAAGAAGAAAGGAAAGTATGTAAAATGAACTACTTTGGATTAAGTCTGTACAGCAAAGTTATGATGCATCAGTATGAAAAAAATCTCCAGTTCCCAGGTCTGAGGAAGAGCCTAAGAAGCCACTCAGGCTACCCCTAAAATTTTTTTTTCTCTGCCCTCTACCCCTAATTTATACACTGGCAAGCCAAGCTCCAGAAGGCTAAAGTGCTGAACCCCAGTGTCATGCACGAATGCAGTGATCCAACTTGCAGCAGCTGAGACTTGAGTTGGTGCCCCTATTGGAGGCCAACACCACCAGTGGAGGCATAACCTACTATGCCATGATGCCAGCCCTCCAAAAAAATTAATTCCTCATTGCGCTGTGATACTATTTTCAGACTGCAGTTCTAACTGCAAATGCAAGAGAGCTACTCTAAGTGGTCAATGAGCACATAAAAAGATGGTCCAGATACTACTTCACAGCCACTACCATGGCTGTAACTCAAAAACAACAGGCAAAAGAAAAACCCCAAGTGATGGCAAGAGTGTAGAGAAACCAGGATAGCCATGCAAAGTTAGTGGTAATGTAAAATGGTGCAGAGCTACAGTGGCCACACGACCCAGAAAGTCACACTTAGGTGTAGACCCAAAGAATTGAAAACAGGTATTCTGGGACCAGCGTGATGGCTCATCTGACTAATCCTTCCCCTGAAAGCACCAACAGTCCATATGGGTGCTAGTTCATGTCCCAGCTGCTCCACTTCCTACCCAGCTCCCCACTTGCAGTTTGGGAAAGCATAGGAGGACGGCTCATAGCCTTGGGATCCTGCACCCATGTGGGAGACCTGAAAAAAGCTCTTGCCTTTGGATTGTCTCAGCTCTAGCCGCTGTAACCATCTGGGGAGTGAACCAGCAGATGGAACATCTTTCTGTCTCTCCTTCTCTCTGTAAATCTGCCTTTCCAATAAAAATAAGTAAATCTCTGGGCCCGGTTCAATGGCCTAGTAGCTAAATCCTTGCCTTGCATGCTCCAGGATCCCATATGAGTGCTAGTTTGTATCCTGGCTGTTCCACTTCCCAACCAGCTCCCTGCTTGTGAACTTGGAAAGCAGTGGAGAATGGCCCAAGGCCTTGGGACCCTGCACCCACATGGGAGACCAGGAAGAAACTTAGGATCGGCTTAGCTCTAACTGTTGTGACCACTTGGGGAGTGAACCAGCAGACTAAAGGTCTTTCTGTCTCTGCTTCTCTCATCTTTCTGTAGATCTGCCTTTCCAAGAAATATAAATCAATCTTTTAAAAAAAATTTATGAAAATTAAGATAAGTAAATATTTTATTTAAAAAAAAGGAAAGAAAAGGGGTTTCAACAAAAATCGGCATCCAGTTGTTCACAGCAGCATTAAAAAGAGCCAGAAGGCAGAAATGGCCCAATGTCCATCAACTGACAAACAACATGTGACATACACATAGAATGGAGTATTATTCAGCCATAAAAAGGAATGAGGAACTGATATAAGCTATATCCTGAACCTTGAAAACATTAGACTGAAATGAAAGACATCCACACTAAAGGCCATCTCTTGTAACATTCTATTGTACAAATTCCAGAGTAGGCAGACCCACAGAGATGCAGATGGAAATGCAGACAGATTCACAGTAGTGCAGGGCTGCAGTGGTGGGGGCACACGGAAGAGGGAGGGCTCAATGTGATTGGTATTCCTTCAGGGTGATGAAAATGTTCTGGAATCAGACAGTCCTAAAGTTCGTACAACATCATGGATGTACCTGAGCCCACTGATTTATACACTTCACAGTGGTGGGTAACTTATACTTTACGTGTTTTTAGTACAATTAAAAAAGGAGAATCAAATCTTCCTGGTGCCTGTGCCTTAGCAACTACTAAGGATGCAAACAGACTTTCATAAAGGCTATGCATCTCTCCCTCACAATGCAAAATGTTTGTGACTGTAGGTGTCAAAGACCCAGCTTTCTGAAAGCAGCCTCGGGTGCCAAGATCATTGCTGTAGGTCCAGAAGGGGGACAACTGGCAGCCCCCTGGGTCTCATGAACAGTGGCTGCCAATGGAGATTCCACTCCAGGGACACACATGCTGCCCAGAGTGGACAGTGGACTCGCCCGGACAGCGAGTGGCCAAACCCATCCGAGCTCACATGCACCAGGGGAGCTATCGTGTCACCACTAGAAAACGCAGTGGAAGAGGAAATGCCCTTTGCCACGCAGGAAGGTGGCCCAAACTCTGGGACGTTCCTAGGATTCCCCTGGCACCGGGCTCCTCACAGGCCATGGCACCACTGGCACCTGTCCCGCAACCATGGAGATAAGATGCACCTGAACATCTTGTTTCACAGATGCCCTGATCTCGGCTCAGCTCCGCCCAAGCCTTTCATTTCTCTCCCTTCAGGTTCCAAGGCCCTGCTCCACCTCCCTCGTTATCAGAGATAATCTTTGCCATCAACACTGGGTGCCAGCTAGAGGCTCCTTGGGCGTCTGACGACGTTGGCGGCAGAGCCAGGTGTTTCTTCAAGTTCCTGGCGAAGGCTCACTCACTTGATCTGGTTTTTGCTCAGTTTGAGCCTTATGTGCTCCAGTCATCTACAACAGTCACTAAGCCCAGTGGGAAGCTGTGGCTCAGTACGGGTACTGCTGAATGAAAGACTGAACATGCCAGGCCTACCGTAAAACAGGCAACTCTTTCATGCAACCACAGGGAGCCACGGAGTCGGGCATTCTTAAAGCCATACTCCCCCTTCCAGTTTTCTCACACAAATGTTGGATTCCTGGTTTCCAGACACAGAGAAAATAGACTACTTTAAGCTGATCTGCATTCAGATCAGAGAGAAGCCCATTGGAAAGTGCTATGATCAGTCCCTTAAAAACGGTTATTTACTACTCTGGGCAGGAAAATGCCCCCAATTCCATAATACACTGTCAAGTTTGGTGAGCAGGATTTTAGACAACTTTCATCCATCCTACCCAATCCCAAGTAAACAAGGCATTTGTTTGTATTTCCACATTGGCTTCAGGAAGAGAAAAAAAAAATCTCCAACTAGAAAAACAATCTGTCACATTCAGAAGGGAACTCTGAGGACAAACGTTACAAGCTTGAGCAAATTCATAGCTCTTAAAACAACAACAGAAGCAGAAAAGAATTCCTGATTAAAGATTTCAAGTTGACACATCTACCTAGTTTGGCCTTGCTGTATCTTTTAGAAACAAAAACTTAAAACATAAATTTTCTCATTGAAATTTCAACCATAAAAAAACTTCTTCCTCCACTGTCCTGCAATAGGTCTGGATGTTCTGTTCGGATGGGATAGGGCTAAAACAACCCAAATCACTTTCCTTAGCATGCTTTTCAATTTTCTGCTCTATATTAAGTAAGTTCTGGCAGAGTTAAGTGTTCTGAGGTTAGTTCCTGCAGTTAAGGGGGGAGGGGGGTAGATGCTTAAATTTAGTCCCTGTAAAACAATACTGGGAAACTTGCAAAGCCTGGGAGAAATACTGGAGTTGATTATTTTATTGCCTTTTACTCAAACAACACATTCCACTAGCCACATTTTCTTCTCTTTTTAATCCCTCCGCCCCCGGCTCACAGGGCAGATCCTACACATTCCCGCGTGATTCGATTACCTGTTGGGGGCCCCTTGTATGGGGGATGGGGTGGGGAGGGACGGAAATCTACTGAAACCTTTTGCGCAGGACCTCGTCTAGGAGTTGGCTCCGGCCATCTGCGGCCGAGGTCGGATCACACCGTCCACCGTGCAGCCCAGAGATCGGAGGTCTCCGGTGGGAAGCCGTGTGCTGAACCTGCCCCCCACCCCAGCCCCACGCAAGGCTCCGGGCGAGGGCAGCTGGGACGGGATGCTGGGCACAACCTGGGGCTCTCGCCGTCCAAGAAAAAAAAAAAAAAAAAAAACCCGCAAACACTCCACAATGGGAAAACTGCGCGCTTCTTCCCCCGCGACACCGGCGCCCCTTGATACCGCGAAACAGAACCAACTTCTTAAGAGACCACAGCCCCTAACGTGCGTGCCGGGGACTCCCCCAACTTCATGCACTGCGGGAAGCACAGAGCGCCGGCTGAGACGAGGTGGGAGTAGGGGGTGTGCAGACCGCCGCCACCGCCCCTGGTCTCTGTCCCAAAGCCCCCTCGTGTCCCCGCCTCGCAACCAAACCCCCCGTGCACGGACACCCCGGCTGGGTTCGCGGCTGCCGGGACGCCCTCCCGTCGCCCTGTAGCCTGTGACAAGTCGGCAGAACCACACTCACCTAGCGGAAGCCCCTGACTTGGGGACGGCAGGTGACGGTGAGAAGCGCGGTCTGGAACCCTGGGCGCCGCCCGCTTGCTCGCTCCTAGCGCGCCTGGCCGCCCGTCCCGGGCCGCCGCGCGCTCCCGCCGCCGCGCGCTCCCTCTCAGCCGCGCGCTCCCGCCGCCGCGCTCCCTCAGTCCCGCGCTCCCTCAGCCCCGCGCTCCCTCAGCCCCGCGCTCCCTCCTCCCTCAGCCCCTAAGCCCCTCGCTCCCTCCTCCCTCAGCCCCGCGCTCTCTCCTCCCTCAGCCCCGCGCTCTCTCCTCCCTCAGCCCCGCGCTCTCTCCTCCCTCAGCCCTGCGCTCCCTCAGCCCCGCGCTCTCTCCTCCCTCAGCCCCGCGCTCTCTCCTCCCTCAGCCCCGCGCTCCCTCCTCCCTCAGCCCCGCGCTCTCTCCTCCCTCAGCCCTGCGCTCCCTCAGCCCCGTGCTCCCTCCTCCCTCAGCCCCGCGCTCCTCAGCCGCGCGCACCTGCCGCCCAGCCTGGGCTCTGGTCCGTCCGTCAGAGCGTGGCCACAGCGGCATTTAATCAAACAGGCAAGTGTCAATTACGGGATGATCAAGGGGAAAAGTCCTATCTCTGAGTCAGCCCTGTGAAGAAAAGCAATAGGGATTGGTGTTTGAAACTATGAATGAGATAGAACTTTTTTTCCTTTTCAGTGTGATGGCTTTGAGAGGCGATTTTTAATGTAATGATAACAGTTGTTGTTGACAATACCAACGCCCTTGAACTAGGCGTTGAACAATATTGTCATTTAATCCTTAAACCTCTGATTTCTTATTACCACTTTATAGAAATGTAAGTTGTGGTTCTGATAACTTTTCTAAGTTTTTGGTTGGTTGTTTTTTTTTTAACATTTTATTATTATTATTATTATCATTTTATGATACAGTTGCATAGGTTGGTTTTTGTTTTTATGTTTAATTTATTTGAAGGACAGTATCACAGAGAGAGGAAGAGGCAGAGATCTTCCACCTGCTGGTTCACTCTCTCCCACGGATGAAACAGCCAAGGCTGCATCAGGCTGAAGCCAGGAGCCAGGAACCACAGCCTGGTCAGGGTGGTAGTGGCCTCCTGGGCCTCCCTCAATTGCTGGATAGGAAGGGGAGCAGCAGGGACTCAACCCAGCACTCCAGGAATGGGATGCAGAATCCCAAGCAGTTTAACCCATCAGGGCACATGCTTTTGACCCCACTGCTTGTTGCTGATTTTTCTTCTTCACTCTATCACTGTGGAAATATCTGCTCAGGTTAAGCTGGCTGTGGAAGGCTTTTTTAAGTTGATGGGAATTAATGTTACCAGTGTCTCCAGAAGGTGGGACAACTGGGTTCAGAGGGAGAAGGCCAGTTATGGAGTTTAATAATTATAGGGTGTGTCATGTACTAAAACGGCCAACTTTATGACAACCCTGTTCCCCACACGTCTGTGTTCATCCGCGATTGTACGGAAAACCTCGGAAGGAAGTGAGTGTGCAGGATGACTTAGTCCCTCGGCCCACGTGGGCCTCAGCCCCCACCCCCATTCCTCAGTCCTTAGATCATTTATTTGCCTTTCCCAAGAAGACATACCTGATTAAAGGGACAACAACTTTTCCCCTAATGATACATTGCCCTCAACTAACTCCCTGCACCTTTAATTATTGTTTACAAAGCACTTTAATCTACCCAACATGCTAGTTAATTAGGCAAGTATTATTATTCCCCTTTCTGAGCCAGATCCGGGAGAGAAACAGTTCTGACAGCCCTTAATCCTGGAGAAGAATGGATCTAAGCTTTCTGCTTATGTTCTTTTGTATTTTCCTCTTAAATTTTTGCCCCATGTACTGTTAAATATGAATGATTTCATCATGAAGAGACCTAATGGAAGTTAAATACTGTTAAATACCTTCAGGTGAGGTCATGCAAAAAAAAAAAAAAGACATTTTCATGACTGCTTTCTTGATTTTTTAAATTTTTGTTCTTTAGGCTTGATTGAGGCTTTTATGGATTATCTTATAGGTGAAGAAGAAAACTCAAGGAATGATGGATTTAAAAAGGAAGGAAAGAAAAAGAAAAGGGGAGAGAAGGAGGAGGGGGTGCAAGGAAGAAAATGGAGACTGAGGAGGTTTATCCAAGTGGCATTAGCGGGAATGAGGCCAAGCTCTGCTGGCACACCAGATCTGTGTGGGAACGACAGTCAGGTGGCCTTGCTCCGAGCTGGCGCCCACGTAGCCAAGGACCCAACTTAAATACAGGGCACAGGTTCCCTTCCAGTCCCAAAAGGACCTTTGTGCCAACTGGATCCGTAGGAAAAGTGCGAAAGGGCAGGAAATAAAGTAAGAAAGAAATGGGAAGACACTTATACACACAATTTCCTGGGTCATGTCCAGGGAGAACTATGAAAGCAAACAAATAATTATAAGTATTTAGAAATGAAGATATACACTGTCTCATTATTTTGTATTCTCACAAAATTAGAAATACTAAAATTTCCTAAATTAGGGAGTTTAGCTTTGCTATTAATTAAAAAAAAAAAAAAAAGACTTTTGGAAACCCGGCAGCCTACTGGCTGCTGGAGGGTCCCAGACTGGGGTGTCTCCATGCTCAGATCCCTGACTCCAGCCACCACATGCACATGATGAGCTGTCCCCAGGTGGCCAGTGCGCCATTTGGTACCAGGCTCTGCCTGCTGGCCACCCAGCTGCGAGCTCTGGGGTTTTGGTTCTTTGAATTGCTGCTTATCTAGTTCCACGTTGAACCCATTGTGCCTCTAGGATATGAATCAAACCTAAAGATTCCCAGTGATAGATTAACTTTTCCTTTGAAGAACTTGTAGTCACTGAACAATGCTGACCACCGAACACCAGTCCATGCAAAACCTAAGACTCAGGGCTTGTCTAGCAAGATCATATCCTATTACCTGACATGATGGTGGGTCAGGAGACAGGTCACATTAGGCAGGGCCATGACATTACCCCGCATGCTAGAGAACCATAGCAGGGGGTAGATTCTGTGGGGGATGTGTGGGCCAAACCCTGCGGAAATTCTAGCCCCACAAGTTAGTTCAAGAGATGGAGTGGTGATGGACTAAGCTAGGTGCGACCAAGGAGCCTGGCATCAATCACAGGTTAAGGAATCAACCAGTCTGGACTGGTCAAGGCAGCAGCACCCAAATGCGCATCCTGAATAGGGTGTGGGGTGGGCTGGGCTACAACGTTCACCATCTCATACAAGGCCAAATGGAAGGAAGACTACGCCAGGCACTGGACTAAAACCCAATGTATGAGAACTGGGTCTGGGAATGGATTAAGTGGAGGCACTTAGGAAACTCCCCTGGCGAGTCATCGCTCCCACTGGTGAACACATGGTTCAGACTTGGGGGTCAGACAAGCTGGGCAAAGTAGCTCCAATGGCTGGCCAATGTGTGAGTTGGTAATGGAATGGGGTGTACAAGCACGACCGATCAAACCTTAGCCCATAAACAAAATTAGAAACCAGGATGGAGCACAGGTCATGCCGAGCTAGGCTCTTGCACCTACTGGTCTGCGGGAGCCAGGGACGCTAAGCCACAGTGTCTAAGGCAGAGGTTGGGACAGGTGAGGGGCTGAGCCAAGCTGAGTCAGAGCAGCCACTAGCATAAGCGTGGGCTATGTCTGGGAACAGGCCTGGTTGGGGAGCTAAACGGACAACCCCAGCTGGGTTGAGGTTCCCACCAAGGGGTGCACAAACTGGGATGGGGGCTATGTTCTGATCAGGATATGGTTGTGGTCTCCCTTGGCACAAATGTGGACTGGGACTGGATACACCAAGCCAGGCCAGACTCCAACACCTTCCGCTGTTAAGAAGGACTAGGGTAGATGTGGGACAGACTAGGCTAGGTCTCAACTCCTACTGAGCCATGTGTAAGCCGTATGTGGGTATGGATGAGCCGTGGCTGGGCTGAAACATTCAACAGCAAGGACCAGTTTGGGTTGAAGGCCAGTCAGGAAAAGCCACTGTTCCTGCTAGGACAGGAGGTGAACTGAGTAGGGCTGGCTCAGGGACCCCCTGGTATACACAAAATCTGGCATTGGGAGAGGTTCTGATGGAGGAGCCTGGGCAACTCCTCTGGCAGGACACAGACCCGCAGGTAAGCACAAGAAGCATGAAAGGAAACAGCCCAAAACAGGCCATGGAAAGTTTCCCACTGGCATACATTTGGCATGGGTCAGGGACAGACCAGGCTGAATCAGTTCACATCATCCACTGGCAAAGCCAAGCACCAGAACAGAGTGTGGGTCGAGCCAGGTTCGGTTGCAACAAAAACCAGTGCACAATACGGAATGACTGTACTGGATGTGACCGCAGTGCCCAACCAGCAAGCATGAAAACCAGGAATGGAGGGGGCGGAGCCGGCAGGGGGAATATGGGGGGTTCCCTTGCTGGACCGTTACTCCCACTGGAGAGCATGAGCTGGGATGGGGCAGACTAGACCAGGCAGGGCTACAACACCTGTGGGCCTCATATGGACTAGATCAGGGAAAAGCCAGGCTGGGCGGATTATTCCTACTGGTGCAAACAAAATTAGAGTGGGTGAGGGTTGATTGGGCTTAGCCACAGCATCAGCTGGCACAAGCTGGCGCTGGGGGCTAATTCTATCAAGTTAAACTGTAGAACCACCTGGAGAGTGCATAATCTGGGAGTGGGAGAGGCCTGGGAGGGAAATAGTGGGCTCTTCCCTCTTGGGTTACCACTCCCATGGAGGGCATGAAAACTAGGACAGGGGCTGAGGTGGCTAGACAGAGAGACACCCAACAACATCCATGAGGGCTGGATAGTTGAGCTGGTTAGATGGAACTAGGCTTTAATAACTATTGGCATGTATGAGCGCCGAATGGGATGTGGGACAGACTGGACTAGCCTGCTACACATATTGGCAAACCAGGGTAGGGGGCGGGCCTGGTGGGGACTAGTATGGGTTGCTCCAACCAGGCTGCAGCTCCCACTGGTTTATGTGAGGGCTGAGTGTGTGCTGGGCAGAAGCAGGCTGGACTGCAAAAACCATTGGTTCCAGTGGAAGACAGGGCTGGAAACAGAACCAACCCAGCAATTGCAACC